CTGTCGCGCCAGTAGCGACTTCTCTCGGTTGAAATCCAATCAATGATTAGAGACCTAGTTGTAGACCAACTTAATCCACAGAAAGGTTCTGGGCCACATATTAGAGTGGCGGATCCTGCCCGTGCAAGACTATCGGCAGACTCATTGCCATTGATTCCTGTGTGACCAGGCACCCAGCACAGTGTCACTTTATTATTGCTTGCCAGCTGCTGCAGTGTGTCATAGCAGTCTGCTAGAAGCTTTGAGAAAAACTTCCAGGAGCATAACGCTTTAATTGCTGCTTGACTATCTGAATAAATACAGATTCGGGCGCCTTTCAACCCTTTGTTAATGTTGATACGAGCGCAGACCTCGATGGCGTGAACCTCTGCTTGGAAGACAGTGGGCCATATACCCAGTGCGAGCGAGATTCTGGTGTTAGGACCAAATATTCCAGCACCAACTCCTTCTTTGGTTTTTGAGCCATCAGTATACCATGATATCACTTTTGGTTCAAATCCAGGAGTGCCATTTACCCAGTCCAGTCGATCGGGTATGAGGACTTCGAACTTCCTACCGAAGCGAAGTTCCATGTTCATGCGATCTGTCCTATCGCAGATCTCTATGCCAGGAACTAGTCTGCAGATAGAATTTTGACTGACGAGACTTCCGTGCATGTCGATGACAGGGTGTAGCCTAGCTGCACTCATAGCTGCTGTCTTTTTAATAAAGAGATGCAGAGGGGTGAGACCCACTATGGACTCCAGTGCTGATGTGGGACATGTTCGAATAGTTCCCGTCATAGCGATACATACGAGTCTTTGCAGTTTATTGCATTTGACTATTGCAGCATTTTGTTGCGCTTTATTCCACCAAACAAGAGCTGCGTAGGTTACAATGGGTCTGACCATTCTGCGGTATAACCATGATATAATTCTAGGACTTATGCCCCAGGTTCTACCATATGAGGTCCTACATGTCCACATGACCCGGGTGGCTTTGCCAATTATATTATTCAGGTGAGTGTTCCAGTTAAGACGCTTATCTAGGGTGACCCCCAAATATTTGACTTCATCGGAGCATTCGATAGCCGTATCCTTAATAGATAGGGACCCAATATTTACTTTGTACCTTCTGGAAAAAGGCACAATTACCGCTTTTTTTGGGTTAATACTTAGGCCTTCTTTGATACACCAGTTCGAGACTTTGTGTAATGCCGCTTGCATTACATCTGTAATTGTGGTGTCAAATTTACCTGTAACAATGATTGCCAGGTCATCTGCATAACCTATGGCATGATATCCAGATTGCTCCAGTTTAACTAGTAAGTCATCGACTACCAGCGTCCATAACAATGGTGAGAGAACCCCACCCTGGGGGCAGCCCCGTACAGCATTAATGCTGACGATAGTGCTACCTAACTTGAAGGATATGTTCCTATCACGCAACATTCTATCTATCCACGTTATTGTACATGAGTCTATATCTTTACGGGCCAGTGCTCCAGATATGGATTCGTAAGATGTGTTATCGAAAGCTCCCTCTACGTCCAGAAATGCACATAAGGCGATCTCTTTGGATTGAAACGTGCTTTCGATTTTGCTGACTAAATGATACAGCGCGACCTCTGTAGATTTGCCTTTTGAGTAGGCATATTGGGTGGAGTGGAGTGGGACAGTTTGTTCCAATTTATTCCGTATGTACAGATCAATCAGCCTTTCGACGGTTTTCAATAAGAAAGACGTAAGACTAATGGGTCTGTAGGACTTAGGTTGGTCCATAGGTTTGTTCCCAAGTTTGGGAATGAAGATCACGTTCACTCCTCTCCAGGAATGAGGGATATAACCCATAGTAAAACAAGCCCTAAAGAGTTTTATTAATGGGTCTATGATGATATCTATGCAATTCTGCAATAGAGCAGGGTAGATACCATCGCCTCCAGGCGCCTTAAATGGTTGAAATGAGTTGATAGCCCATTGCACCTTGTCCCTGTCAAAAATAACACCAGATAGTGCGTATTCCTGACCTGTAGGAGCAGTAACTTCCCTATATGAATGTGATGTGGGTGGTCCGGATACGGAACCAGGGAAGTGTGTTTGCAAGAGAAACTCGAGGGTATCTTCACGACCAGTAGTGAATGATCCGTCGGGTTTTTTTAAAAGTCCTACTTCATTTGTTTTGACCTTATTTAAAGCCTTGTGTAGTCTAGCAGCCTCAGGCAACCTATCAATACTATCACAATGGCTACGCCAGCTGGCCCGTTTGGACTGTCTGATTGAATTGTTGTAGTCGGTGAGTGCAGTTCTATACTGTTCCCAACTACCAGAGCGTTTTGCTCTATTGAATAAGCTTCTTACTAGTTTACGCTTATTAGCTAGTTGCGTGTTCCACCAAGGAACCTTACCTCTAATCGAAGCATTACCTGCAACCGTGCTGTTGTGAAAGGAGGTCAGTAAAACCTCACCTAAATGGTTTGCAGCCAACTCTATCTCTTCACGAGTTCTTAGTGGCCTAGCTAGAGAAAAATTTTCGGAACCCACCAAGTCCCTGTACCTAAGCCAGTTGGTTTTCCTCGGCCGGTACACTTTATCTTGCTGCTCGGATATACTGGGAATTTCAAACCTAATATGTTGATGGTCTGAGAGGGACACTTCGTCCGACACTCGCCAATTCCATATAGATTCCTCAATACCCCTAGTGCAAAGAGTGAGATCTAATACCTCTTCTCTAATTGCATTAATAAAAGTGGGTTTACTACCTTTGTTAGCTATACTTAATCTTACCGACATAATATAATCTAATAGGTACTCACCCCTTTTGTTATCATTGCTGCTCCCCCACACTGTGTGGTGGGCATTAGCGTCACAGCCCAAGATTAGCTGTCGCCCAGTGGACTTGCAGAAGTTGATCAGCTGCTGGACTTCCGATGGTGGAATGGTTACTTCATCACCTGGGAAGTAGGCAGAGGCCATGACTATATCTGTGGCCCCTCTTAGTGTTGGGACTTCGACTAGAACCGCTGCTAGGTCTCTAGAAATAAAGTTTGTTAACGGAAGATATTTTACATCTCCACCGATTAGGATAGCTGCACGTGGCACTGCTATCGAACGGTCATAAACCAGCTTACCTGATTTTGTGTTGAGACCCCGTATTTGGCCATCAAACACCCACGGCTCTTGGATAAGTCCTAGAGCGATGTTATTGATTTGGGCAATTCTGCACAAGGTGGCCGATGCTTCCTTAGCATGGTGCAGATTTGCCTGGAGCACTTCAAGAGCGCTCATTATGTCTCGTTAAGAGACTTACGGACGAGACTTTCACGCTTGTCTCGTCGAGAACCTTTATTTCTATCACCCTTTGATTGCTTCGGTAAAATTTTACCGATTAAGGGTGTTTTATTGGTAGCGGTCCGTGGTTTACCTGCTACAGTTGCCGTGCCCGTGGAGGGCATTGTGGACTTTGTTACCGAGGTGGGAATCTGAACAGCACGCCCACTGGCAGAGCACACAGCCTTGCTTGTGGAGGGACGTGTGTCTAGTTCCTCTTCCTCAGGAACAGTCACTGTTGGGCAATCATCCGTAATGGATGCTGCCGGAGCCGAGGATGATTGGATTATATTATCATCCTGAACCACCTTTGGAGTATTATCTATGAGGTGAGAATGAGCGGGGGTGGTTCCCTTTAGCATCAATCTCAAGTGTCCGAACCGGTATGCAATCCTACCTTTAAGTTCGGATAACTTCTTCATAGATTCGTCATCAATGACGAAGACTAGGTGAAGCATCTGATCCTGCGTCAGCCTGCGTATCACCTTCCACCGCGTGGTGGAGAATTTGTTCTGGGTACCAATGGTAGCCAGAACTTTTTCGTTTGACAGTGTCAAACTCTGAGGAAAATAGCCACGAACTACATGAGTTCGTGGGAAATCTTTTTCCTCTACCACGTTTAAAGCGAGTCCGCTTTTGGCCCCTATGTGGCCTGAAAATTTCTTGACCCACTCCGCAGTTTTTGCATCACTGCAGACGATAAGCAGCCACCCCGTTCTAGGTAAACACCCTTCGAACTCCGGCTGTATTTCGTCGTTGTGTTGCTCAATAGCAACATCAATAATGGCTTCTTGGAGAAGCGTGATTTGCTCTGTAGAGAGCGAAGTGCCAGCCGGATCGGCCGACGTGAAGCCTAAGCGTACGCCTTTAACAGCTAGGCTGTACGATGGCTTGGTGAGCCCCACGTGAGCCACCTTATGTTTTTTGGCGGGAAACAAACCGGGGGATTGCTCCTCTGATCTGACCCGCTTATTTGCAGGTGGATGTTGCATAGCAATTTTAAGAGCCTCTGCCCTGCTATGGCCTGAAGACATTGCCGCCTTAAACCTTCTTCTCTCACTTCTTTTAAGGTGAGTAAATTTTGGAGATTCCAAAGTGAGGTTGCCAACTTTGGATCCAACGACAGTTAGACCGGATTTTTGTGATACCACACTGCCGGTGTCGGAATCATCAGATTCAACGGTTTCGGAATTTGAGGACAAGACCTCAATAATTTCCTGCCGCCTTACCTGAGATCGCGACGAAGTAACTGCTGGTGCGTACACCGTTTCCGCAAGCGGAGAAGTAGACGGTGGCCCATCCGGATCCATTTTGACGCACACAGTAGCGCTGTCGAAATGGGTGGAGGCTTCCAGCCCAATGGCCGGCACACACTCAGCTACAGATAATTCCGGAGAGGAATTATTTGAAGATGATGCCGTTAGAGTGACATCAAGCTCATTTGAATTGTTTAATTTGTCCATACGAAAATTGTTTAAATTCGGGATGGGAAGGTCACACACGACATAGCCCGTTTATCGTGAGAAGTCTAAATTAAAACTGGAGGTCGACAGGTATCCAGAGTTCGCATATTAAAGACCAACTATCCATGGCCATTCATCCCTCGGCATATGCTGTTCCACCTTGGATTTGAGCTTTGATTTAAGACGCTTTTACATGCGTCCGCCCGATTACAATTAGCCAGCACTCATAGCAGAGACATGACCATACTATGAGCCTGTTTCTAGCCGCCCCCGCGTAGAGGATGTAATCACACTACCGACAGTATACAGCAGTTACGGCACATACACATAGTACGTGTTTATCCCCCTGTGTATCTGACAGCTGACGACCTACAGTTTTTAATACTATACATTTAATATTTTTCTGTCCAAGTTTGGCATTAAAATCAGCTCTTTTCTTACTTTGTCGAAAGTTTCGACGATATACTATTTGCCCTACATTAAACTCTACTGGTTTTTTTCGTGTATTGTATACTTTCTCTGCTTGTTTATGTGCAACTTTTAACTGTTCCATTATTTTATTTCGTATTAACTGTTGTTTGTCAGTCTGATGAAGAACACAAAACTCTCCCGTTCTAGTTGTAGCTAGTTTTCTATTAATAGTAAAAGACTTCCCGTGTTGTGACATGTGCGACCCGAACACAGCAAAATAAGGCTCTAATTGAGTCGCATAGTGAGTTACACTCCTCAATGCAAAAGCCACATCACTCACATGCTGATCCCAATCCTTCTGGTTTTCTCCAATATACGCTCGTATCATTTTCAGCACTGAACGGTTTACTCGTTCTGCGGCATTTGGTTGAGGCGAGTAGAAGGCTGTTCTCATATGATTCACTCCGTACTTGGTCAGAAGATTCTTAAAGTTTTCAGATACAAATTGCTTACCATTGTCAGAATGAATATGTTCTAGTACACCAAATACTTGAAAAATATCGCTCTTAACGTATTTTACCATACTCTTAGCAGTCGCTGCTCTCATTGGTTTTAGGAAAACGAATTTGGAAAAATGGTCTAGACATATAAAAATTACCGTGTTGCCTTCTTTAGTTCTTGGATATGGTCCCATAAAATCTACATATAGGCGTTGAAATGGTTTTTCAGTAATGATCTGAGCTCCCATTGGTGGTCTTATCATTTTGTTTGAAGCTTTGGACATATTACATATTTCGCATCGTTTTATCCATTCCTGGATATCTGGCCAGGTATGGTAACCTGGCCAGAAGTACTTCAATCGCAATTTACACAGGGTTTTCTGCATTCCTATGTGTCCTGATGAAGGAGATTCGTGCATCTGCTGTATCAACTCTTGCCGTAATTCCGTAGGTATTCACAACTTCCACGCGTCATCTTCTTATATTACATCTCCACTTCGAAAATCCATTCCATTCTTTTTTAACCTTCTGATACACAGAGATCTGGGAATTTGTCTTGCTCGATAGAAATAGTCTGAATAGTCTGAAATAAAACATTTAGACTGTAAGTCTGTGTCTAAATCTCTATTGGCTATAACCAATTCTTCTAAATGCATCCCGGATAAAGCATCTGACACTACATTCTGCGATCCTTTTCTATATTCTATCAGGAAATCAAAAGCCTGCAACTTTAAACTTCACCTGGCTAGACGACCTGACAAATCTTTCTGATTCATTAGCCATTTTAAGCTAGCGTGATCAATAATAATATACACTATAATTTCGCTGTGCCTTGTTTAGTTTGGTTGACATGTATGCGATTGGTCTCTCATTCCCTATCTCATCTATTTAAAATAAAACTCCTCCCACGCCATCACTGGAAGCATCACATTGGAGATAAAATAAAAATGACGTTCAAAATTTGGATTTGTCAGCACTAGTGCAGACACTAAACTATTTTTTAGATTTTTAAAGGCATCTCTAGCATTCTCCGACAAAGAAAATTTTTTTATCTTATCCTTAGTTAGACAATTGTGAAAAGGTGCAGCAATCGATGCATAGTCCTTTATGAAACGTTGGTACCAACCAGTCATACCTAAAAACCGTCGAAATTGTTTTGGTGTTTTAGGTTCTGGAAATTCATTAATTGCTTCTACCTTACCGGGATCAGTACTTATGCTGCCACTTCCTACCACATAGCCTAAATATTTCACCTCTCTGTAACAGAATTTTCTTTTCTCTACATTCACAGTAAGATTCGCTCTGCTCAGACAATCAGCAACCTGTTTAAGGAGTTCCAAATGACTATCAAAATCAGGAGAGCACACTAATAGATCATTTAAGTAAACAAACACGCGTTCTGAGCCTAGCTGATATCACTTTATTCGTTAACCTACACATTCGTTGAACTGCATTGCACCATCCAAACGGCATGACCGTAAAATGGTAAAGTGGCCTACCTGGCACAGTGAATGCTGTTTTCTCTCTAAACTTCTCTTCTAGTGGAATTTGCAAAACGCGTCCTTTAAATCAATCGCTAAAATATATCGAGTGTCTTGCAGTCTACTCAATATCCCTTCTATGTGCGGCAACGGATAACCATCCTTGATTGTACGTTCATTGACTTTTCGCGCATCTAGACATAGCCTATTTTTAGTACCTTTAATTACCAGAGTTACTGGTGAACTCCAGCTACTATTACTTTCTTCGATCACTCCTAAACTAAGCATCCTATCCAATTCATTATACATGAGTTTCTGTATAGCCGGAGAAATTGGGTAATGTCTTTGTTTGACCAGTAAATGTTCATCCATAACTTCTATAACATGTTTTTCTACCATAGTACCTAACTCATTACATGATGGGAATTTTTTAATTATGCGAGATAAAGTTTTTTGTTGTGGTTCTGTCAATTCGTGTGGGTTTGACGTCACTTGGAGGTCTGTTGCGGTCGGTACTAATTCTTCTACTTTACAGTTTTTACTCAATAGAGGTATCGGAAAGGTTTTCCAGAAGTCAATACCGAAGTAGAACTCCTGTTGTAAAGAAGGGACAACTAAAAAATCCAAAATTTTTTCTCCCCTTCTCATTGTACTTCTAAAGATATCACTCTTACTATTGGAGTTTCTTCCCCGTTGACAGTTTTCACATGTTTGCCTTTAACTGCAATCATTCGCTGTGATTTACCTTTTAGAAATTCTAAAGCGTTTCTACCAATACAGTTTGCACTTGCTTCAGAGTCCAATAGAGCCAGTACTTCCGTTCTGCTTACTTTGGTCCTCACATACATCCTATTATCGTCTTCTACTGACACTATAGTGTCCACCATTTTCTTCAAACATGTCTTCAACAAACGTCTTTTATTCCTCATTCGCATAATCTTACAAAATTTTCTGTTAGCTTTCAACTCTACTTTCTTCATTATTTCTTCGTTGAATAACCGACGGCGTATTGCTTCATATTCTGTTTTTCGTTGATGCAAAGTCTTCATGCCTTGCCTTTTCATGTCTAAATTTACAGGTGCATGTGGTGATTGCGGTCTTTTTAGTATCTTTGTTGGTGTTCCGGGCGCTGCTTCTGGTGGCATAGACCCCCGGTCAGTTCTGCCCCCTTCGAGTTTCCCAACGAGTCCAGCCTTAAACCACTTTATGGCTGGACCCGTTACTAGACAATGGTAATCTGTCAACAGATGGTGATACGGCACTTCATACTTCTCTCGCATACGCTAAATCCTAAAAATGAAGCTTTCCACCGTCATCTCTTTGGCAGACCCGTCAAATTTGATATGCCATCTTCCCAAATCGATGTCTCTTCTGGGCATGTGTTCATCTTCTTCAAAGAGCATTGACTCTCGCCGATTCCTTAGTCCTTGAGTTTTCGGATATGCTCCGCGCCTGGTTTTGTTCAGCCTAGATTCTATGCTTGGTAGTCCCGGTTTCTGTGTTGACATTCTGGGCGTCCTTGAGACACTTCGGCGTGGCACTTGTAGTTCCATGACGGGTGCCTCTGTCTCCCGCGTCTGGTTGCGTAGTGTACACATCTCGGTTCTCATCTCATTCATACAGCTTGTCATATACTCATTTTGCTGCATAATCATGCCCATCATCCTGCTGAGCTGCTTCGTGTTCACTGTTGGTTCCAGAGCTTATGCTCCTTGCGTGCTATTGTTCCTTCCTTCCATAGTGAATGGGCTGTCCAGATGTATTAAATCGATTTGTGAATTAAAACTAAGCTCTAATTTCCTCTAACTGGGGAAACTTTGGTAATATGTTCGGTAGTGCATGGTCATTGCTATGGAATGAGAGACTGTTTCAAATGCTTTCGCAAGCATTTGAGATGTAATCTCACAAAGAGCAGTGATGGTGTTATGACGTTTCCTGAATCCATGCTGATGGGGAGCTAGATGAATATAAGGAGAAATCTGTTTTAGTACTAAAGACTCCAGAACTTTGGCTACTGAAGATAACAATGAGATTGGTCTATATGATTCACCTAGACCAGCCGGTTAGCCCAATTTCAGCAGAAGGATAATCCTACCAGTCTTTCATATATTTGGGATGATATGAGAACTGATGGAAGTGTTCAAAATATGGGTCAGAACTGAAAGGTCAATAGGCCCGAGGGGCTTGAGCATGAGGATTGAAATACCATCAGGCCCAAGAGCTTTCGAGGCTTTGGGCACGAAAAGATCAAAATTATTGTGCACAATGCTTGGGATCTGGGAAGGTGATATCATTAAAAATGATCATTTTATTATTGGAGCGTGCAGGATTAGATAATGCTTTAATGGTAGTCCACAATTTACCATTTTGAGAGTCGCAGTTATCTTACTATTCCTTCCATTGATGATAATGCTGCGAAATTGTATCTCTGCCTTATTTAAATCAGAGGACAGAGAAATATTGCCAAAGTCGCGTTCAGAGACATTTTTAAATAAGGCCCAATTCGCTTTTTTAAAATTTCTGATGGTTTTCTTGTCAGTTTCGTAATAAACCTCAAACGATGGAATTGAGATGGTAATGGGAGTGTGGTCTGAGCTTTAAGCTATTT